ATGAAGTTTTCAAATGTATTAGTGAGTACTTACTTTTTATCATTCTCATACAATATTCTCTACTTTTATTATTTCCATAAAATATTTACTACTTTTATCTTTTCCATGTGATATTCCTCAACTATTCTCATCCTTCTTAATTCTCGTGTTTTTTTTAAGAAATAAGCTTGTAATTAAGTGAAAGAGGGAATACAATGTTTTACAAATCTTGATAATTGGAATGAGATTAATTTTTTTATAATATATATATTTTTTTGATAAAAAAAGGTAGTTGAATTGTGATTACTCCATATAGGAAGAAAAGTTAAGTTAGTGCATTGGACTATATAGATATCTATTGAATTGCCCCTTAAGACCTTAGTTTTGAATTTTCAAGTCGGGTTCGGGTTCATATTACGGAGTTCATAGTCATATTCTTAAACTTTAAATTGGGATTCAACTTTGTCATCTCTTACAAAAACCCTCTTTCAGGCGAAAGTAACAAGAGAAAGAAAACTGAACGAATGTGTATTTGTTGAACTCGCAGCCTAAATGGTCTGGATTTTTTTTCCAATTTATTTATTTCATTAAAATTAGGTTAAGTGAAAATGGATTCAATGTGATTTGTTTATTAAAATGATAAATGACAGCAATGGCGCTCACCTTACAACGTTATACTTATTCATTTGATCGGAAAACAGATCGGAATTGCCTCTTCAATCAAAGGTGATATTTTTGCATCTTTATATCCCTAATTTATTTTTTTGAATTTTGGAAATTGTGCCTGCTTTTAAAATTTTAATTTTGTGGTAATGACATTTGCATATTTAATATTCATTTTTGGGCAGCCTTGGAATTCATTTTATAAAATTTGGCAAAATTAGATCATAAATTGTTTATTTTTTCGAGAGAAATCCTATATTGTTAGAGAAATTTTGATTTTTAACACCATAAAACCAAAATTGTTTTTTAACACTATAGAAACAAAATTCATTCTTCGGGGTTTTTTTTGCAGTGTTAAAGATTTTTTTTAGTGTTAAAAAAACATTTTTAAGGTTTTTTGTGGGGTTAAAAATCAAAATTTTCTATTTTTAATGATATATTTTATAGGGGTTTAGGACACTAAAAATAATTGATGAGTGATTGAATACTAATGTTGGTTAATCGCGATCATGTAGAAACGAATTTGAACATGAGAGGACAATGGTAGGTGCAACTGATGATAGAGGTGGTTTGCCTAAAGATTTGTTGATAGAGATATTGTCTAGGCTGCCTGTGACAGACCTGTCGCGATACAAGTGTGTGTGCAATTCTTGGTATTCTCTTATTTCGTGTTCTGATTTCATATCCAAGCACCTAAAAAACTACAATCATAAAGACCATAGTTGACATGGTTGTCTCCTCGCCGTGTATCCTAATCCTGTATGCATGGCTGGACTTGATACGTTTCGGTTATCAATAGATGAAACACCTAAGGTTGTGTTTGGATACACTTATTTCATTTCAAATAGTTAAATTCAATTCTAGAATTTCAATTGTTAGAATTTAATTCCAAGTCCTATGTTTGGGAAAGTTAATAATTTACAATTTTGAATTTCAAATTCTAAAAGTTGTTTGGTAAGACAAGGAATTTCAAATCCTGAATATCAAATTCTAATAGCTGTTTGGAAATACGAGGAATTTCAAATCCTGAATTTCAAACCTAGGTACATTTTGCTAAGAAACTCTAAACAAAAAAACAACATATCAACATCTAGCTAGTAGTTTTAGTTCACAATCTAAATAAAGATGCTAATCATTAATACATAATAAAACTCAATCTAAATTTTCCCCTTCTGGTAGATTTTTTAACATTTCAAACTCATCAACCATCCCATTCATGAACCTTTTCATAGCTTTTAGGACTTGGTGACGCGAGATCCCAAGTACACTCGAGACTACCTCGTAGATCTCTTGTGAACTTGGTTTCGGTGACCCTTGCGCTCTGCTCACATACTCCTTGAACGATTCTGCAAAACAACTCACTGCATCTGCAAGACGATCTCTCTTGAGCCTCTTGTTTGATCCTCCGGAAGAAGTCTCAGAGGTACTAACCCCTTCAATTTTGGTGTCCATTGCAGCAGCAGCCTCATCATGATGCTCAGCTCCGTCACCAGTTGCTCTATCCGAAGCAAACAAAGTACAAATATCATCCCAATTCTCAATGAATTTGTCTGATATGCAGTGGCTTGACCAATAATCAAAATCAATGTAAGGCAAACTATAAGCAAAAAATGAAAGATCCAGACATAATGAATATAGGTTAGAGTTTCTTGTGACGTTGAAGTTCTGTATTTTGAACAACAACTCTGTATTTTGTATAATCAGCTGCATTGCCTAATCAGTGTAACATAATTGGGACTCAATTTATTACAAGAGGTAGGAAGCAGCCCCACGATAGCAAAATAGGTATAAGTTAAATCTAAACACCAAAAGAAAATGAGCAGACTGATCAACTACCTCAATTTATTAACCAAAGCTAACACAGTAAACAAGTGCCCCACTATAATTTGTTGGAGTGTTTCCCCGCCACAAATTTAAATGATAACAGGTCCCTTTGTAAGGAGATAAAAATCCCTCACAGTTTGAAAAGCCCAAATCCACAAGAAAGTATTTGTATGCATAATCAAATATTAGATTAGTCATATAAGATTCAATATAAAATAACTAAGTTATGAGAAAAAAGATCTAAACACTTACTTCTTGGTATTTTAAGCCCATTAGGCCTCCTTAACGCATCACGAAGCACACGAGGATCTGATGCGGATCCTTCCCAACCGGGTAAGACATATGTGAAACGAATATTTGTATCACAAGTCGCTAAGACATTAGTACTAATGTCACCTTTCCTATCTCGATAGCGAGGACGATCCTCAATAGGGATGGTCATCTTAATGTGTGTCCCATCAAGAGCTCCAACAACACCCTAGCATTAAATTTCACAATAGATAACTTAGCCTAATAAAAAGAAATCTATATCGTTAAAACTATAGGTCATATTGATTTTACCTCAAACCATTTCCACTTTGTTGACCCTTTTGGTTTTGATGGATAAACTGACAAACTTGACTAATGAGTGTTTTAAATCTTTGGTGAATGAAAGGTTCAAGCAACAAAGTCCGTTCCGAGTAGGAACATAAACTAAAGAATGTGGAGCAGCATTCATGAAAACACCTCATACAATTTCTCATTCTAGATTAATTGTAAGCACTTACAATATAAATTGTTATGGAACTTAGTAAGGCACATTATTAAGATTAAAATAAACAACGTTAAACTGGAGTATAAAAATTGTTTTTGAGAATTATGATAAAACTTTTTTTGATAAGTTTTTGAAAAGGATATTTTATATTAGTCTACTGTTTTAATAAAATTGGATATTATTGTCTTATAAATAAATTAATAAAATTAATTTATTATCTTTGAAACAAAAATATCTTTTCTACTGATTCATTAATTAAATAAATAAAATTGTATTATTATCCTTTTAGTTTAATTATCTTCTTTATCTTAGTATTTAAATAAAGTATTTTATAAATATTCTTTTAACAAATTATCTTCTTAATAAATATTATTTTGAAGAAGTCAACAACGGTTTTATTGTTCTCTTTATACGGTTTTCTCAAAGTTAATATCTAGCAAGTTGTTGAGATAGTGGATTGGTGAGCAAGGCTAGGAAACCTCCATCATGATCACCATTTGTCACAATTACTCCACAATACGTTGGTGGGGTGTTGACATGTGTACGTGATTATAGTGGGAGGTTAATGACTAAAGCCTTCTCTATAAATACTCATACAATCTATCTCAGCAACGTACACTTTCTTGAGCATAATATTCCAGTGAGTAATAACGAGAAGAGAGTTCCATACTTCTTATATTAAGTGCATTAGGTATTGTATTACTTGCTGTAATTAAGATCTTGGGGATTGTGAGAGTTGTAATCTGTGAGGTGAAGGAAATTTCATAGTCGAAATTTCTGAGAGAGTTGGGAACAAGTTCCGTTCTTGTGGAACTTGTTACGGGTTTATTATTCACTTGTAAAAGAGTTTGATTTACATAGTGGAAATTCAGAAAAACCCATATCATCTGTCTCTCTTGTTTTATATTGTCTAAATTCCACAAAAAGTTCATAACTTCACCTATTCTACAATTCACCCCCCCTCTTGTAGTGGCCATCTAGACTTTCACACTTGTTATCCTCGACAAAAATAGTGGTTTGGTCAACTTGCTTGATGTAATACTTTCCAATTTTCAAAATAGATCGGAGGACTATATGGAATTGACGACTCACGGTCTCTCCAGAACGAGCAAAGATAGCTTGAATTGTTCTATTTTTCAAATCATGGGCAAGAATATGGAGAAACAATGCAACTATCTCTTTTACCGTGACATTTCTTGTTGTCTCTAAACCTCCCTTAGTTTGCAATATATGACATAATTTATTAAAACAACTTATGTCAAGCCTTAACTACTCTCGACAAATCCTATCATTTTTTAAAGTGTTCACCCAAGTAGCTCTAGTTAGGCACGCTCATGCTCATTCCAAGTTACCTCCTTAAGCCTATACTTTTGACCATACCATGCACCTACTACTATCATAATAAAACCTATAACTACGACAATAAACTCCATATCTTCGTCATCATCCCTTACACGTTTCAGCGCCTCCCGAATAGAGACTTCATCTGACATCTTTTTAATTAGGAGCTGGAAGAATAAACAATACCCAAACTCAAACTCTGCTTATCTTAAGCTAAGCTAACTCAATAGTATCATTAATAACTTGTAAGCAATAACATTTTAATCAACCATAAAAGTATAAAACAAATAGAAGATACAAAAAACGTGTCATCATCCCCAAAAACAAACCACCTGACACCAACAAATCAAAGCACAAAATCACATTGCACATTACCAAACAGGCCATAAAGTATTTGCATCTGAGACCATTGATCTCAGGCCTATTTGTGGTCCTTGTGATGACATATATTATCTATATTCAATATGATTTTGTTATTAATTGTTATTGGCCTGAAGACTATGAAGCTGAAACTGTCACTGTACCTGCATCCGTCTTTGTCTACTCATTGCGGACTGATTCTTGGACTTATTGTGGAGATTTATCCCAAATTTATGAGTTTGAATTGGATACGAATCAATGTTACAAATTTCTTGATGGAAGCTATTACTGGTTGTTGTCTAGTGGACCTAAGGACGAAAATGATTGTGTCATTTCATTTGACATGGCCACTGATACATTTCAAGAGATACATACACCCATTTATGAAAAGCCGGCATCTAGGAGTCTTGCAATCTATCATAATTCTGTTGCTTATCTAACTCTTCATGAGATCGACGAGTCTTTTGTTGTATGGATGTTGAATGAGGGGTTGTGGACCAAGAAATTCAGTATAGGACCTCTGTCGGGTATTCGATGCCCACTTGGTCATTGGAAGGATGATAAGCTTATATTGGATTCTGATGATGGTAGACTAATCCTATGCGATCCTGTCACTCAAGAAACAAGGGATCTTGGATTTCACCATGGTCTTTGGTGTAGAGGTATTTTTGTTTACAGGGAAAGCTTGGTTTCACTCAAGGACAGCAGCCAATCACATCAATGTCATGATGAAGCTGAAGCAGAAAACGTCCAACCTTAGACTTTAAGACATTAATCACTACTCCACAAAGATGTCATGGTTGATTATCTATGTAGTGTTTCTTGGCGAAAGTATTCTGTATGCTTGTGCTGCTTTTCTGAGAGTGGAATAAGTCAGAAGCTGTAATGGATGTTATACAACGTTATTTTTGTTAACTTTTCAAGGATGTGATCGAATAAAAACCAGACTTGATGTATTGTGTTGTATCATCAAAGAATACAAACTAGACTGCTTTTCTCCTGGTTTTTCTGAAGTTTTACTGTATCTATTAAACATTCATATCTACATACATCGAACTGTCTTTGTACGTATGTCTAACATATACAGTTAAAAACTTTGGAGATATGTTCATATACATATATACGAGGAAACTCGTAGGCCAATTTTTAGCTGATCAACAAAAAGGCGGCTGATAATCAACATTATCTCCTCATGATCTACTATTAGAACCTAAAGCAGACTTTTTACATGGCAGAGCAATACTCTGTAAACACATCAGTTTATTTTCTGCATGTGTTCCGGTGAATCTGAGAACTTTGGTTTGTTGCAATTGCATCACAATTGTTTGCTTTCGTTTCCATCTTTAGATGATTTAGCATTAGCAAGTCTTCAAGGTTGACAGTGAGAAACTTTTGACATTGGTCATTACTCTATTTCTAGGATTACTTTGGAAACCAATGTATGCTTTGCAGAGCTTAGTAAACTTTAACCATGTCCTTCTTCTTCTTCTCTTATTTATTAATTATAAAAAAACTACAGTCATGCGGGTTTATTGGATAAGCAGGGAATGATGCAGATGCAGGATCTACTCATATCATGCTGCCTCGAAAATTTTAAGTGAAAGCTCCAACAGAATACAATATTTCAATAAACAGGCTTATTGGATTGTAGAATTATAACAAACCATGTTAAACTTTAACTTACAGCATAATAAGGAAGAACAAATCAAAAGCATCTAAGTTTTTATTCTAATCACATGATTTTGACATTGCATATGGTATTTCTAAAGTACAATTGATTCTGAACCTAAATAATAACACAACAGTCCCATGTCTGGAGCAATTTCTTCTACTGTATCCACCTTCCAGGGTTTATCACTTGCATCCCTCAAAGTAATTGGAGACTTAATTTTCCATCCTTTGAATCTGTGATTGCTTTTGTGATTGCTAACCAATTATTCTCCAGATTCAACACCTTGTAATCTGGAGTAAAACCCTGCAAGTTTTGGATTAGCTTTTGTTCAATATACTTGAACCTGGCTGCTTCTGATATCATTTGAACTGATAGAAGAAGAAATATTGCCTCTTTTTTCTCATCTATTTCTTGGTTGTTGATTGCAGTAATTGAATTCTTCCATTTTCCGATACCCAAACCAGCCTTTCTTCTATTGATTCCAGTTTTTTTTTCAATTGCTTCATATCTAGAACTGTAGTGAAGAGTGAAACGAAAGGTGTTTTTGCCTCTTTGAACTGATCATTAATGGCATTAAGAGGGGCATCATTAAGAAAATGTGCTCTGTAGTTTCCCTCAAACTGATCACAGTATCCTACCACATATAAATTGCTTTTGTTCAGAGCAACTTTTACTGATACATCGTCAGAAACTTTCAGCTCCACTATGTGGTATGCTGGAGGGGAAGGAGGAGGTGGCATCTCTTAAGTTTTGCATCTGAAGCTTCTCTTCGTACTTCTTTTATAAAGTTGGCATATATGTCTGCAGTTGGAGTTTGCAGCTGATTAACTCTGACGAGACTTGTAGAAGCCATATTGATATAATTATATATGCAACTGATAATTTCATTTTGAACCTATGCACAGAATGTCAGAATTTGAAGAAATTGAAAAGGCAAACTTGTTTCTTTCTTGGATAACCACTTCATTAAAAAAAAAAAAAAAAAAAATTAAAATTTGAAAATTGTATAAACATAAATCTCAATACCTCCCCTCTATTACTTTTGAAATTATTACTCCCCTTTCGTTCATTTCCTATCTGTTATATGGGGGAACGAAGTAAAGAAAATGGTAATTGCTATGAAGAAGAAGCAATCAAATACATATAATTTTTCTATTAGGGGAAATCAGATTGCATGAAGTGGTGTATGTGCTCATAAATTGCTATGTTAAACAACCAATCACAATGTAAACATGCACTATACACACATTCTCAACTTTCCACAATGTAGTAACCAATCACAAGGCATAAATGCAGTGTACACACATTTTCAACTTTCCCTAACATAACAGCCATCCCCTTATAGCATTATCTTATTGCAGACGGTTCAGAAAAGTTAAAAACAAGCGAGATAAAAAGAACAGCTTAAAGCATGCCAAACATACTGCACAAGTGAGATAATGAAAATCATAATAGACAATGCCCTAACAGCTGCAGCATGCATACTTCTTCGAAAACAAAAGAGATGAGTCTTTTCAACCATAGCAGCTAAATTTTGATGGGTTAGCAACTTACCATAGTACCAGATTACATCAGATTTGAAAGAATATTTGTATCTACTCTTATATCAGAAAGTATTTGATTTTTAAACTAATCCTACATCCACAACCATATTACATGAAAATCTTAATGTAAGTTGTGGCGTTATAAGCATTAAAGATTAAACTTGAATGAAATAGTTCTGGAGTTGAAATCACAGCACACTAATTTGAAGATGCATGCCATTTCCTTTTTTTTTTTCTTTTGCTATTCCACAGGATAACAAGCAAAATTTTTCTAACACTAGTATACTTTATGTTGTATTGTCCCCAGATTCCCTTAAACTTTGGGTAATTTAGAGATGGTGAGTCCATATTTACCAAGCCAAGTTTATCACTACTCATATAATTTGAGGTATCTATTCTCTTTGTAGTTTAGAAGCAAAATTGATACGTAATATCTTTTTACAACAGAAGCAGAACACGATTTGCAAGCTGATCTACCCAAGTTAAGACCTTCAATCTAACATGAAATATAGTGCAAAGGAAGCTATTTACTCTTGTAAACTTGTTAAATCATCACATAAAAGCATAAAACAAAACTTTTGGTTTAAGAGAGCAAGGAGCTTGCACATATTTTTTAATCTCTATATTCCTCTCAGATATGAATAGCAAAACATAACTTCCAATGGTAAAGGTGAAGTGTAAAAACTGTAAATAGTGATAAACCCATTGATTCACAAATTCTCAATACTATAAAATTTCAGTGATTTAAAACCAAAATCCTATCTTTTTAATATTCAATCAGACAAACTTAAAGCAGAAATTCTCAATAAATCATAAACTCCACTTCGATTAAATCAAAACATAAATTCTAAAGCCATAAAAGCAACAACAACGATATGCAAGAGGAACGCTAGAAGACTACATCACATGGGCTAAAACATGATAATGCACAAATCAACATCCTAAGCATGAACATTACTTAAATATCTTACATCCTAGAATAAATGTAAGCACAAAATAGACACACATCTCATGCAGATAGCTAAAAAGATTACAGACAGTAGAAACATTGATTACAAGCAAAAGTAAAGTAGTCAGCTATTCGCGCATGCAGATTAAACATAGAATTCATAAGCACTTAGACTTGATACAAGCGAAATGAGTTCCAATTGCCAAAATAGAGTTTACAACACACCTGTTTAGGTTCTCCATTTTGGCCCCCAATTGTAGTTGAAATAATGTGTCCAGTGACAGCACCATTGCCATCTACTATTGTTGAAGCCAGCACCATTGCTATTATATGTTGCACTTCTGTTCTGCATCATCTGTCACTCAATACTGATGGTTTATCTATTACCTTACCTACAGTATGGTCACAATTTGCAACAAGCAATAAGGACTAAGAGTTGAAGGAAATGTATTTATTCCTGAATTGAGCTTTTGAGAATAAAATCCTAAAGTTGAGTGTTCCATGCAAAATTCATACGAATTACTTCATCAAAAGTAATCTGATCGAAATAAAGTTCAACAGTTCTGCTTGGGATCTTGATCTCAACTACATATATATCAAAGCTGATGTACTCATGGTCTCGAGGATCATATGAAAGTGCACTTTTGTTAGGAAATTTACATAAGAAGCTTTCAAATTACAATTTGACATACACCTTTCAGAGTGTCTAAGCACGTAATGCTAGCTTTTAGATATACAATTGCCTGAGGGACTTTTCATGTATAGTGTATACACACAGACTAATTACCTTGGGACTCTGTACAATCGATCAACCATTTTTAATATAAACAAATTTCCTTTGTCTCCTCTAGATACTCTGCAAAAGCAAAGGGGAAAAAAAAAATTGCATCTTTCATGAGTGACATATCCATCAATAGAGCAGGTCTTTCAATTTACTTGATTATAAAACTAATCATATCAGTCCAAAGTAAAAAAAATACAGAAATTCCTCAACATGAATTCATGAAAATGAAATGCCTACAAAAACCTATACTACATATAATGATAGGTGTTTATTTGCAATGTTTAATCAGTTAGAGGTAGCTAGCTTCCTTTAGATGCTACAAAACTTGAGGGTGAGCTATTACTGACATGCATTTGTTCCTCCTCCTCTCGCGCACATTCTTACTTCCTTTTTCAGATACATCAGTACATATTGTCACATTGTTGCATTCCATGATCACATACACTGAGAAATTTATACACTATAATAAATCCTGATGGAGCAGGCTTTTCATCTTCATTAAAAAACCTTCTGATTACATTAAGTACTTATTATTATGTAACAACGAAATTTAGAATTCAATTAATAAAGAAGGTAAAACAAAAATAAATTTCTTAAGTCCCTAGGATTTCCATTTATATACTACAGAGTATTGATGAAGAATACTGTGGATAGTTTGGACTGAAGATATCTCATTAGCTATTTAACTAACACTACAATGTAAATCAAGAGTACCATGTACAATGTAAATCAAGTCTGATAGAATAGTCAGTCTGGAATCGAGGATACATACTATGGACCTAAAATTTACTGGAGATAATATAGAGGTGAATGATTTCAGATACAATAATTCCCTTGAACAAAACATACCGCAAATCCTCATCCAAGTAAGTAATATCCAGAGAGCCATACTGAGTTCTTTCTGGTGCCTTCACAGGTATCTACAAAAGTGAAGCCGTGCTATAAACACACTTCATGGTAAATATTGTACATCAACTAATCATCATAAAGGCACAAATTTATCCAAATAACTAATATGAAGTAATTCATGATATGGAAACTAGTACTCATGATAATGGACTCCTCATACAAGTATCACTCTAGTCAATTTTATTTACTTGAACATCATATAATCAAGTATAAATTATAGATTAAGAAGATTACCAGTCCCAGTATTTTGAAATAATCAAATTTCACAGCCACCTTTCTTGAATTTATCGGCAAGAGATCTGCTGTTACCTGAAAACCATCCAATGTAAACACAAGGGTGATTCAACAGAACGGATGAACATCTGTTTAACCTACCCTTTTCATTCACTAAGGCAAGAAATTACTATAACAAATTAACAATATCAAAAAGAATATCTAAATAGAAGCACTCATGATCAGTAGCCAATTCTAAGTAAAGGTCGACGAAAATGAGCTTAAGGACAGTAAACAAGATGGCATTGCAGGCTACATATTAAGCAAGAATTATGTAGTTAATAACTACATTATTGATTAAAGTATGCTTGTTACAAAATGTCTACAAGAATCCAATCAACTTAACCTGGTTAAAGAATGGCCAAGTCTCCATATTTTGGGCTCGAAGAGTGTCCAGATTAATGGCTTGGTAATTAACCCTTGATCTCAAGAACTTGGGTCTCTGTCAAAAAAGAAAACAATCCTAAATATAATTGTTCATCATTGCCTAAAACCAAACTTGCAGAATTTATCAAGTAGAAAGATTTAAGACAATAAATTACCTCATTTTGTAAAATTGATTTAGAGGTAGTGTAAATGAGCTCCCATTTCCCATTAAGTAAATCAGACTTCAGTGGCTCTTTCGTTGGGTTTACTGCTTCCAGCTTCCGCGTAAGCTTATAAAAACAAAAGGTTAACGTATAATTAGAGAAAAATTACAAATAAATTACATTTTCCATTGCAAACCAATGAGGTCTTAGATTGAGGGACCGTGTACAATATAGGTCATAGGTTCGAATCTCCCATCCATCATTTGTAATTTGTAACGCCCTTGTGACTCATTCGGACAAATATCAATTCAAAGACGTCCAAACTGAGCAAACAAGAGAGAACCAACCAACCAACCTGATCAATCCAAAGCTGGTCATCAGGGGTGGCATCAGCTCCCCTATCAAGAGGCTCAATGGCCATAAGAAGCTCCTCCTTTAATTTTAAAGCTTTGGAATCTTTTCTGTTGGTCAAAAAACCAGGAAAAAAGGATACTTTTGTTTTGGTGCTTGTTCTGCTGCACTTTTCTGCAGGAAGTGGATTATGTGAGAGATGTTTGAAGGTGGGTTTGCTTGGAAAATGAAGATTTGATGAGGAAGAAGGAAGAAATAGAGGAAATTTTGTGATATGATCATTTGCAAGCATAATTTTGGAGAGAGAATTAGAAGATGAGGCCATACTGATACTTGTTTCAGAAGGTTGTAGGAGTACAAAATTGATGGTGGGGATGTGTAACTTTTGTCTTGAAAATAGCTGTTCTTCTAGATTTTTTTTTAAGAGAGCTATGAGGGCGGAGATGAGAATCGATCTCAAGATTGATAAGTCTATTTTATATATATATTTTTATTCCCCGTTTTACGGTCATATTTGTGTTTATTTGAGCTATGCAAAGCTATTTTTATTACTAATATACGTTTTTTTAGTGTTTTTGTAGAGTTGGTATTATTTTGCAGGAATTTGCAGATTTATGATAATTCTCGTGCTTATTGAGCCACTACGAAGATATTGGAGTTTGATCGTATTTTATGACCATATATTTAAAGCCCAAGGTCGAGCTAATTAATTTGGTTTGGTGATTAAGGGCTCGATTCATTTGGAGTACTAATTTTATTACAAGTCCAATACTTGAATATCAAGAAGAAGGAAATTGGCCAATTAATATAAAAGCACAAGTTGCAAATCCAAGATTAAAAAAAAAGGCCCAGACACAATAAACTTCAAAACCCAAGAGAATATTGCTGGGCCAATCACCTGATCGGGCCCGATCGGGCGGTAGATGGCCCATCCGGGCGAGTGACTATTGCTGCTATGATTCGGTTGGGCCTTGTTGCAAAACAAGCCCAATAGCTTTAGTTTGTGAGGCGGTTAATTGGCTGATATTAAGCCTTGTTTACTAGCTTTTAAGGATTTGTTTTTAACTAATGGGATAATTTTTAGTGGGGTTAGAAATTGAGTTGGAATAAAATTCCTTTGGACTTTCTTATAAAGGGGGTAGTAGTAGTAGTACGTAGGGAGTTTTTTTTAGTTCTCTTTTCTTTTAGTTTTTTTTTCAGTTTTATTTTCTTTTAGTTTTATTTTCTACTTTCATATCATATGAATATTTATTATTTTATTTTAATACTATAATTCTTCTTATTTTAATTATTGCTTTTATTATGTTTTTTTTAATTGTCTTGCTTAGTTTAGATTTAAATATGTGTGAGTAGTTTTATTTCTAGGGTTGTGGGGATCTATAAATAATATGAAGGGGTAATTTATTATTATTGATTATTGATGATTGATTAATTTCCTATTGATTGATTTAATGCTATGCAATTAGATTAGGCCTGGTTTAATTGTATGAGTTATGCAATATTGATTTGAGATTCGACATATGAGAATTGATGTTTAGGTTTAGTTTCAATAGGCATGTTAATATATTAATGGTTAGGTCGAGATTCGAGAGATGAGATTTGATACCAGTAGATTAACGATGTGATTATAATACGTAGCGACAACCCTTTATAATCTGGTTAATTCATGCATTGATAATTGATAGTTGTGTTTACCCTGAAGTATTATTTATTGGTGAATCTATACCATAGAGCTTTTTATTATTGATTATTCCCTTAGTTAATTTGCTTAGTTGATTATTAGATTCATTTATACAAATACACATTGGTTACCTGATAATTTAGATTATAATAATTAATTAGGAGTAAAAGAATATTGTTTCCCTGTGGATTCGACCCTACTTCCGTATCTACTGTATTTAGAGGACTTAGGAATTATTTTTGATTAGGTGATACGACTAAATCCTGTCAAAGATCGACTACCTGAACTACACTCAATGTTCTTCTAGATTATTAAGGAGTAGTACGTCTTTGTTCCGAAAGGTTGCAAAGTTAGATCTAAAAGAATTCATGATAATGTTAAGACTAAAGAGGAGGTACTATGAGGGTAAATTGAGCAGGACTAAGTCGAGTCACCGATGTTGCGCTTGATGGGGCGGGTTACTCGGGTTCAATCATTAACATTACATGGTTACTCCCATATCTCAACACACTAGACCTCTCAGGCAACTCTCTATCAGGCTCACTGCCTGAATCCCTTTCCAACCTGATTCACCTTCGACGACTTAGTCTATCTAAGAACGCATTTTCTAACTCCATTCCAACCTCTATTGGCTCCTTACCTTACTTAGAAGAGCTTTATCTAGATGACAATCAACTCAGCGGGTCAATCCCGCCAAGTTTAAACAAGCTAAGTCACCTTATAGACTTTGCAGTACAACAGAATCAGCTTTCTGGTGAATTCCTTTTTTTAGGTTCTTTGAAAAATTTGTACAACTTTGATGCAAGTGACAATAACATTTCTTCTTTTGGTACGACTAATCCACTTTCTCTTCCTATTTTCCTCATTTCCTTATCAATGAGAAACAACAGTTTAAGAGGAGAAATGCCTAGAAATTTCTTCCACATGCAAGACCTCGAAGTCTTAGATCTTAGTTACAATGAGATAGATGGTACAATTACAAGGGAAGTTTTTGATCTTCCATCACTTCAACAACTCAATCTGTCTCATAATCAGTTCTCAGCCGTCAATTCGCCGAATGGTAAAGGGAAAAAAAGAGGGAATGTGTTGGCTGTTGATCTCAGCTACAATAAGATAAATGGGTTATTGCCAAAAATTTTGGCTGAGTTGCCAAATCTATCAGCATTGTCATTGGAGCATAACATGTTTACAGGGATGATACCCCCAGTGTATGCCCTCAGGGTTGTAACGGCGTCGTTTCAACGTCTTTTGCTCGGCGGGAACTACTTATTCGGGCCGATACCAGACCCGTTAAAGCGGGTGGAGCCTGGTTCGGCGACAGTGAGTTTGGTTGATAATTGCTTGTATACTTGCCCTGTTACTTTGTTCTTTTGTCAAGGTGGTGAGCAGAAAACACTGATTCAGTGCAAAAGTTTAAGGCATAGGATTCCTTAGGAGTTTAGTTTGGTAAATCATTTGGCATAATTGAGATGTGCATAATATGTGCATGATCTAAGTAATCCTTTTAAAAAGAAAATTGGGTAAGGCTTTTTAGAGGATTATGAAAATGGATACACAAAAAGAAGTAATTAGAAGCAAAAAAATGCATATTATGTTATGCGAGCTAGGTTGATACATTTGCTCCCTATAAAATTGTGGAGTTTTTAAAAATTGTTATTCTGCTAATGATATCAACTAGTATTTACTATTTTGTTGTGTTTGTTTTTGGGCTCTTAACCATAAAATCTTTGTTTTGTACTTCGCACAGTTTTTTTTTTTTGGGTACAAACTTTTTTTTTTTTTTTAATGAACAAGAAAACTCATAATAACTCTTAAACTTATAAAAATAGTTCCACCACAAAATCACAAGATATAATAATGTTAACATTGATTTAAATACAAGTAGTTTTAAATATTAGCAGGTGTATTCCCATAAATGTCGTTCGGATGTTGATCTTGTCAACACAGCTTTGAAAGCAGGATACTTAAAAGCGTATTCTAACTGCCATAATTTTCTACTGCGTTTTCGACAATGTGATGATTCTTCATTGAATCAACTACCACCAATCGCCACCTTCCCATGCTCGCTGAACACAGCTCAGTCCATCCAAGGGCTCCAATGGCAGTCATCAGAGTTTTCCTATTGTTGCAGCTCGTTTTCACTACCCAACACAACCTTGTTTTAATGCTTATGAATTTCAAGAAGTGAAGAGCCATCAAATGACCAACAGCACAAAAACAAAAAATATCTGAGTCGGGTAAAAAGAAAAGAATGGGCTGCCTAAAAATACATCTACAAAAAGAATGATTGACAAAATTGTAAAGATACAATGAATTGTCAAAACAGAAGATATGAACAAATAAGTAGTTTCAAGTTTTCTGGTCTTTAAGTACACCATGTTTATCCCCCTAGCAAAAATTGGGGTCTAAGAAGTTATGTAAACAACGTGACCACATCTTTCCTGTATCCTCTTACAATTAAAAGCCTCGGAATGTTTTCCACCAAAAGATCCAAGTATTCCATATAAAATATAGATGGGTGATGGAGAGGTGGTGGTGGTAAGCTAACAAGTACCACAGCGGCCATTCTTGAGTATCTTAGCATTGTTGAATTCAACTTCAAGGTAGTGTAAAGAAACTTCTCCACCTGTTGCTCATTCACAACTACAGGTTTACCATCAGCCATCAAAGGAGTGCCTTCCCTCTCAGCTGTTTCTTTCATCTTTGACATGTAATCAGCAACTCGACGTTGTGCAGCTGTAAATGCTTCGATTGACTCATCCTGTGCGGATCCACCATCTACTTGTACATCCCATGTTTTTATTGTAATAACAATTACTTCTGCCTGCATACGGAGATCATAAAGAAACTTCTTTACATCTCCTTTGAGGCCTTCAGCATCAGTTTCCTCCTCTGCTATGCAAAAGACTTGAATCTTGCAATTCTCAAAGCTCTCCTTGGTCAAGAGAAGCTGGGAGAGAAGAAGCATGAGACCTCCATCCCGTACAATCCAATATAGATCGATTGTGCCAAACTGCCGTTGGAATACATTGGGCCATTCCTCAAGACCCTTGACAATGACAACAGCCTTGTTTGCTACAATGCAGTCGTTGATTATTCCAACAAAGGTGGATGGAATTTCAATTAGGTTTTCACGCCGCCAAATTTCAGGGTACCGCATTACCACAATGTTAGGTTTGAGATTTCCAAGGCCCATGGTTTGGACTATGCCACGGAAGCCAGCAGACATGTCAGGAGCGACCACTACTTCTGCAACACCCTCACACTGCTTGTATTCAATGTACGTACTCAACTGCTGGCAGGCAATTTTAGCATCTTCAGCACATTCAAGATAGTCCCCATCAAGGATAGAGACAAAGATTGACATTCCACGACCTTTCTTTTTCACACAATTTGCAAAATCTGCAAGTTTGGGGTGACATGGTACATTTTCTGGTAGCTTGCCCCAAGGCCGGCAGAAGATCAATGGAATAGGATACCAGTTCTTTGCATGCACCTGATTTGCTGAAATTGCAATAAAGTTAGGCACATGGTACAAATAGATTTATTTTTTTGGCAACGGTACAAATAGATTACTTAAATGAAATTAAAAAGGTATAAATAAAGTCTCACTTCTTAATAAAACCAATTGCACAATCTTACATTGATCTAAATTGGTCTAGATATAAAGAAGTAATTCACAGATATGTAAACAATCATATTGAGATTATGACCCTCAACTGTAACCATCACCCTACAAAGTCAAGCACCATAGCTAGTGGACAATTCTGACTGTCAGCAGGTTTGAACAA